TCTCAACAAGAACCGGTTTTCGATACCCATCCCTAGACCGAGCTGTTTGTAAATTTGTTTTGTAAATGAGAAAAATAAATAAAGAATAAGACTGCATGTGACAAAGGAAATAAACTGAGTCTTGACACCCCTGACCTAAAGGAAACCATGAACATGCTTTAGAAAATTGTGATGGCCTTGACAATATCACCCCCCTCAGGATAAAAGAAGCATGAGCAGATGGTGTTATCTAGAAACCCAACACCTCAACGTACACAGTTTATTAATTAATGGTGACTAAATAAGTGCAGAATTTAACATTTAAACAAAAAGTTTATTCATCCATCCCACAATAACTTAACAACTTCCCACAATGCCTCGGAGCTGAACCTGTGCAAATGGAAATGCCAAAATTGCACCACATAAAACATGGCGACCTCTGGAGAGAGAATAACAGATCAAAATGATTGTTCTTGAATTTTTTGTTGTTTTTAACCTCTTAAGCCCCAACGCCCCCTGATACAGGGGCAAAAGGCAGGAGATCAGGTAGGCTTGGGGCTTAAGAGGTTAATCACTTCTATCCCAAGTAGGACACTTCTATAAACCTGAACAATAAAATGAAACAAGCTTTTTTGGCTTCTTTCAGCGGGATAATAATATTTGTACACTGATTTTTTTTTCTTTTCCCATCCCTGACTGAAAAGGTTTAACATATAACCACAATCTTTTAGCTTTAGATCTGTTCTCATCTCTTTTCATATAGCTGTGTATAGTAAAATTATGTAGGTTAAAACAGCTTCTTTATACTTGTGCTTTAGCCAATGTCTATGTGAAAGAGATACATTTACAGTAAGATGTTTGTAAACCACAAATAAAGATCCACATGATTCCTGCCTGAAAGTCAAACCACCCAGGTGAACTAAGCCCATAAACCATTGCATGTGACCTACACTAGTACGAAAAAACTGCTCACCAAAATTTGTAGTGAAACCCCTAAAAATAAACATGCATGTTTAAAATTTCTTTCTGCACTGCTAAATAAATGTCAAAAAAGGGTGAGATGAGAGTTTTGAAACATCAAATTATAACTCGTATTCACTTGAATTATCTTCTATTCAAGCAACAATTCTTCCAACCACACAAATGTTACAATATTGTTGTACAAAACCAAATGGACAGCGTCGGCTCAAAGAAAGACAATGACTTAAGGAACTGGTACACCTCTAACAGCTGGGATTGCCACTTAACAGACAAAACGATGCGGTTTTAAATACAAGAATGAGTCATTTCTTTTTTGTCTGCCACAGAGTCACACAGATGTAATAATAAAAAAAAAAAACAACAACAAGAAAACCCTACATCCCGTATGTTAGAATTTATGTTGCACATTTAAACCGATCAATATTTCCCCCAATGTAAAAGAGAGCAAAATGGAAACAAAGCAAAAACTTACTTTTAATTTATAGAGATTTTCTTTAAGGAATTAGGGTTGCAGTCACTCGTGGTATACCTTCTGCATTTTAATTCAATCCTTCAACCCAACAACCACCTTATGAACAAAGGGTGTCAAACTAATATCGGATTAAAGGACTGCTTACTCTCTGCAGAACACAGCAAACTCTTTTCTAACTACTATCTAAAATGGCAAAGCTGATCAAAACAAAAAACACAACATCTACCATTTTCTCACTTAATAAAGTGAGTTTTAGTAACACAGGAAAAAAATGCAACAGATTTTTCATAAACAAATCCAACCTTCGCACTGAGAGCGTGGCTTTTGAGAGCTAGTGCAGATAAAGACAAATATCTGCAGTATCCTTATAATATGACTACATTTAGTCCCAGTATCCACTCGGGTGCTTATTTCAGAGCAGTTTGGGATGAAAATTGGAACAGATCATGAAGACAGGGGTTAGAAAAGGACACATTTAAAATAAGAACACATTTAGAAATCATTTCAAATATTCAAATGACTTAAAGTTTTTCTTTAGCTATATGGCCGGTGCTTGAACTGCTTCAAATACAGATAGTTACAAGCAACACAATCAAGTCTTCCTCCTGTTTTTTTCTTTTTTTTTTAATCCTCAAAAACACTTTTAACCCACAACTATTTTTTCTCCTCAAGACTAATTTGCATAAAGTTGTAAGAACAGCTGTACTGATTTAAGAAGCCGCGTCAGATTGTACGACCTGGCCGCTTGATATGATTCAATTACAGATCAGCGCGGCTGTTCCTATGCACTCCATGCACACAAGCCCAAGAACAGACAAAGGAAGTGATGAGTCAGATCTCAGAGGCTGTTATGAGCCCACACGTGTTGTCGTGGTCTTCTTGTCAGAGAAGAAGCTTCGCAGCAAGACCACCTGGCTGATGCTGACCACCAGAAGGATAATGGCTTCTCCGATGGACCAGAAAGCGACGCGGGTATTGAGGTCCTCGGCACGACTGCGTCCCTGGGCCTCACGGAGGCGAAAGTGTGTCTGATAGTCGATCACCGACTTCAGAGCCTCATGGATGGACACGCAGGCTGACTCCATCTGCAAATGGTGAAGATTGGAAAACAAAACTGATTTTAGATTTTTGGAAGATGGCTGAAAATATTTACTAAATTCATCCACCAGGAACATTAAATCTGCACGGCTGACAAATATGAGTCTGTCATTTAAGGGAGGGGTGGTGCTTGTATTTATATCATTGGTATTCTTTTGGCAACAGTGGTTTTGGCAGTGCTTTTTAATTATATTTCCTTAGCTAATATTACAGTATGCAGATGATATTTTGTGCTTTTTCTAGTCTGTCTGAACAGACATATATTTAAGTATTTGAACATCCCACATCTTGCTGTCTTTTTCTGCCTTTAGTTTTGTGCCTGATAAATGACAACCATTATTTACTTAATCTAATGAAACACAAAACGGTGATAAGGTCAGACATTTCCAGAAGGATGGGACTAACATCTGCAACATTTAGCAGGAATTTTCCCCCCATTATTCTAAAAAGAATGACTCCAGCTCAGCCATATTATAGGATGTAATCAGCTTCCCTGAAGTAATTGCACAAAGTTCAAATGGTAATTTTCTGGGTTTGTCTGGGTCTCTCCAAACGTCTTTTTTTTTTTGTTTGTTTGTTTAAAATCGTTCTTTGGTAGATCACTGGTTAGGATCACTGTCTTGCTACATCATCAAATTTCAGCCTTCTTTTAGTTGATATTATCTTGTGAGAGTAGCCACAGTACTGAGATTTCATTTACAGACAAAGCTTGTCTGGTGACCCTTTCTATCTGAATAAAATTTTTAAAAAACTCTGCAAGGTGGCTGCTCTGCTTTTTGGGGGTTATTTATCACCAGGATATATTTGCTTTTAATTTAAAGAAACTGTGTTGGTTCATTTGTGCAACCAGGATGAAGGATAACCGTTTAGGTTATTTCGCCCTAACAAATACAATGAAGGAAACATCAGTGAGAGAAACAGGCAGTTAACAGGTTTGTGTGTGCATCCTCGCAGTTTACCTGAGTAAGAGCAGTGACTCTGTTCTCGTTTGGGAAAAGTGGAGGGTCATCGCCAACCTGGAAGTCAAAGTAAACCGTCTTATGCGTGAAGGTGGAGAACTCATTGCTGAAGCAGAATTTGTAGGTGCCGTTCTTGGCTGCTGTGAAGGTAAAGCTGTCATATTGCTTCTTCATCTCCTTATAGAGTGTTGTGCCATCTGGGTCCTCCAAACGGCAGTCCACATCGTAATGACCACCGGTCACCACCTGGGAATCAAAAGCACAGAAGGAATGAGTAACAAAGCCAAGGAGGGGTAGGATGGATACTGACAAAGTGTTTATTAAAAATATATATGGATAGCGTTTTTGCTTACAGGTCAGATTCTTTATCAATTTCATGTCTGAGTCCTACACATGTTTTCAGTGTCAGTGCAAATTAATCTGAACGCAGTGTAGAAACAGAGTTTAAAACAACTGCCCCAACATAAGATAAGACAACCTTTATTAGTCCGACATGTGGGAAATTTGTTTTGTTACAGCAGAAAGTGGACAGTGAAAAGTTATATATCATCAGATTGTTATTACAGGCTAATTATGCACACAATTAAAAAATAAAAACAATCACCCAGATTAATCTTTATTTATTGCACTTTTTCTCTTTTTTGGCAAATACACTTGAGGAACCAGTATGTGATTATTGCACTTTTAAAAATAACACAACACTATGCTCCTAATGCATACTTGTACAATAATTCCCCACTTGCCCTGTGGGCTCTTCAGCCCTTGGTATTTCTCAATCTTGTTGTATTCCTTCTTCTTGATTCACTTGGTATAGCTACATTCATCACCGTGGCCTTCTTCCTCTGATGGTCCACCACGTGGACATTATATTTGATTGGTTAACCATCACCAGTTTGTTCGTCTGCATCTGGAGGTCTCACTGGATGTTAGCTTGGGTTACTCTCAATCACCTTTGGGGTGTATCCCATTTTGACCTCTGGATTTCCAGACCATACTCGTCACAGATGTTCCTGTATACGATGCCACACACTTGGTTATGGTGTTCAATGTATGCCCTGCCTGCTAACATCTTGCACTCTGCTGTTATGTGCTGGATTATCTCTGGGGTATCTTTGCACAACCTGTATGATAGACCTCAACCTCTAAGGATCTTTTGCTACCATGAGTAGTGTTTCTGTGTCTACCCTGTCAAGCTTTAACCAGCCATTGGTAGAATCTTTCAATATCAGCCACTTCTTGTGTTTGTTATACACCCTGCATGTGTGTGTGTGTGTGTGGTTCTAGTGAAATGTTTAAGGCACATGTCACAGATAATGAATAAGATCATTTAATAGTATTTATTACTTATAACTTGGCCTGCTGCTACCTGGACACCTCTTGTTAGATTTAAATATTTACCTGAAGATCTTTCAGGTAGAAGTACAGTAACTGAGTTGGTTTACATTTCTAGTGTTTATCAGACATGCACATGAAGCTGTTCATGTCCCTGGGTTTTCATCTTTGACGCCTGATACAGATTTCAAGGGGACAATCTATACTCGATTTAATTTGGGGGAAAAACGACAAGGATGATTCGCATGGATGGGAGGGATCGAAATAACAGACACGCACCTGGAACTCCAGGGTGCATTTGGTGCCCATGATGATGTCTTCGTAGAAACACTGTTTAGCGTTGTCTGGCAGCTCAAAAGTTAGCTCGGAGCCGAGCACCCACCCACAAAGCAGCTGGGCCCAGAGCACCTGAAGCAACACCCGAAGCGATCCGTGCATCCTGAAGACTGAGAGCCGACAGCTTCTAAGAAAAAAACTGTAAAAACAACAGATTTAAAACTAAAACCGTCACCGAAGGTGGCGAAAATACCGACAAGGAAAACCCGGACACTGATATAAGCGGCTAGCTGCTAGCTTAAAGCTAACTAGCGAGCTAGCTGGTCTTTATATTTTAGAGAAAGAAAGAAACTCAGTAATAAACTTGTAATATGTTTCAATGGTCGCTGTGTTGTTGTTTTATTAGGACATAAGTAGTAACAGGAGTTAAAATAAATCCAAATATTTACGATTTTAGATTATGTTTTACATAGAATTACCTACTCACCCCAGTCCTCACCCGGATGCAACTAATGCTAAGACGCGTATTACTAACGACACATCTCATTGGCCGTCATCCGTAAAAGCCCGCCTTTGCTTGCTCTCACTGGTGGAAAAACATAAAAGGAGGAGCTATTGTGATATCACGTGGGCCACAACCACGTAAGTGTGAGCAAAGCGTAGCTTCCCTTTTATTACCTGAATCCAGGGCTCCAACGTGGCCGCCGGTTAAAATGAAAGTGAAGGCAGTTTGAATGGAGTAGAAATGCTGCTTAAGCCCTATCGGTATAGCATGGTGGTTACAATTATGTTACTTATAACCAAATTTCATTAGACACATTAAATGTTTCGTAACACATTTGGGATACTTAACCCCTATGACAGCGTCACACATGTTTTTTGTTTGTTTGATTTGTCTTGTTTGTTTATTTCCTTTAGTCTTTTTTGTTATTACACTGTGCCTTAAGTTTTATATTCATTTATTTTATATAATGACACAATATATAAGGAGTAAGGGGGTGAAATAATCTTTAAAATTTATCTGTATGTGGATGAATGTGTGAAGAAGTATATTTGGTTGTTGAAAGGAAAATTTTGATTTCATTTATTACTAGAAAAACATTTTGGCTCATTTTCTCAGTTGCATTATGGGTTTAGACCACTTTTCCAAACTACTTTGAGCTTTACTTTGGGTCCTTTCTGTATGGTGTAAAAATGAATGACTGACTTAAATATTAGTGGATAGTTTTCATTCACAATATGTAGTTGACTTGATTTTAAAGGTTATCGTGCCAGCTAATAATCTATTTTCCCTGTGTGTTTAAAACAAATATATAGAAAATTTTGTTTTTAAAACATTTTTGCTGGAGTTGAACATTGCAAAGTAACCCCTGAAATCATGAAAAAGAAATATTGGTCTTGAGTACATATTAGCATCTCTGCTGTGAATTGTAAGAATGAAAAACAAAAACAAAACTATATCATTCTATTCATAGCAGGCTTACCTTTTAAATGTTCAGGACAGCTGTCTTCAAACCCTTGCACTTTTCCACTTAGAGATGTTATAGATGGCAAGGAGCCAGACTTACATCGATTCTCTTGCCTTGCAAATAAAAACTCTCCATGTCTTCATTATACATTTACATGCCATCCCTATGAGCATTTATTTTTATCTCTCAATCTTGATGCCAACAAAACGCACACTGAAAACACCACAATGTCTTTCTCTCACATCTAATATTCATGTACTCATTTAATACTTTTGGGGTGTAGCCCATGCCTACACCCACAGATGTTGTATCATTCTAATATTCCCATGACACAACGCCCCTCATTTTGTACGTTGAGTGCATCTTCCTGATAGTTGTGAAATTGCATCTCACCCTGAAAACAAGCTTCACATGAACATGCAGTGTGTATGCAGTGAAAGCAAAACAAGCCACAGAAATCAGTCAGATGGATTTTATGGTTGGGTTATGGTTAAGCAGGAAATAAAGCAAATGCATTATGAAGCAGGTGTCGAATGAAAGGTATCAAAAACAGTCAAAGGTTAAGAGGAAAGACTAGAGTTTAAACGAAAGTGGGAGAAAGTAGGTGTGGAGAAAGGAATGACTTTTTCATCAGACACACTGGAACATCATTAAAATATTCAACTTTGGAACAGCTTTGCTTCTTTCACCTTCACGCCACCCCCGCCGCCTTTTCTGAACGTTGAAATGATTGGCTCGACGCTGTAATATTCACTCCATACCACTTGGGGCAGTAATGCGCCAAATAATCGAAAGCCAGCTGTAAATGCGCCTCAATAAAGAAGAGAAGAGGAGCGCCGTAAAGACAAAACAAAGCCACACATTTCAACGAACAGGCGCTGGTCGCTTTTTTATTTTTATTTTTTGTAATCAAACAAATTTCATTCATTATTCATAACGATTACCGGCAATATCAATAAAAGGCTTGCATCATGCCGAGTAGTACGTCTTTGCTGGAGGCCGATGAGGGAGAGTCCGAGGTCCCACCGCCGCTCCTGCACGCTTTCGCCGGTATGGGCCTTGACGAGCAGCACGGCGCTCATAGCCAGACGCCCGAACTAGCTGACGAGAGCATCCCCTTTCACCACCTCCCGCTCTCCTCGGTCTCCCATTTCAGCCTCCTCGGTACGGTCCTCGACTTGAAGCCCTTACCACTGCCTCGTCCGCCCTCGGGAGACGAAATTAACAAAACGGCAGCGGCTGAGGACGAGGGGGAGCCATTAGTTGCAACCGATTCCTCGTTGCTAACGCAGGCCCACCACCGCAACCAACACCTCCTTTCTGGGCCGGCTAGCTCCGGGATGGAGCACATCGAGACTGTTTTGCTGTACAACGGAGACGAGCGGGACGATCCTGCGGCCGGCGGCGCTCTCCCGCCGGCTAACAGCATGACGATGCTACCGTCCGGCGGGTTCGGGGAGCCGGATTACGGAGAGGCCGAGACATCACTGTTGAACCGGCGTAAGAGCGTAAACACGACCGAGTGTGTGGCCGTGCCGAGCTCGGAGCACGTCGCGGAGATCGTTGGCAGGCAGGGTGAGTCGCTGTCTTTTTGACTGCTTGTGGAGCTAACGTTAAGGTGCTAACGGAGTTTAGACTAAACTTTGTGGGGCGAGTTAGGCAGGACCGAATTAAGGGACAAAATAAAGAAACTTAAAGAATCGTGAGTTTATAGTCTAATTAATTAAAGGCGTGGAACAGAAAAGCAACGAGATAAAACTGAGTTATAGCTTAACAAAAAAATCGTCGCGAAGAAAAGTGGCACAGTCAGCTACTAGCTTAGCATTCCTCCCCCTTCAAACTGGGTCAACAACAACACCCTCGCCCAACGCCCTGAAAAAAGTTTACAACTAAAGTTTTATTGGTCTCCGGAACCTACTCTGTGGCCTCGGTGCAGTAGCTCGCCTATATCACGGGTATGCTGTCAGTGAGCCTCCCCGTAGCCGTGCTTTGCTGAGCTAAACCAGCCTGGGCTTTGTCTCGGAGGAGAGGGCACCATTCTTTTGCCACATCAGCTGCAGGTTATAGTTAGCTCCGTGACATAACCGATATGATTTCAGTTAAACATCCCCTCGCTGTTCTTAGATCCTTATATGTGGTCTTTGTTTTATCTAAACTTTACATAGATGGCTGGACTCGGTTAGTGGGGCAGTGTGATTATGTTTGAGAGTAAGTTGGGGGATGGTGCACAGACTGCGGTGTTGACAACAACAGGAAATGGCTCTGGTAATGATGCTGGACTCTCAACCACTGCTGAATGGAATATTTAATTTATAAGCTATGCAACTTTTATGTGGCATTAATGACTGGAGACCTGTGCTGTAGTGCTTGTGTCATGATCTTTTATTAGTTCATTAGTTTATTAGGAGATGCAGAGTTTCAAGAGTTCAATGTTGAATCTGTGGAGGTTAATGTGGTTCCTTTATGTGCTTTTTAACTTGCCCATGTGACAGGCTGTAAGATCAAGGCACTTCGAGCCAAGACCAACACCTACATTAAGACACCAGTGAGGGGGGAACAGCCAGTCTTTGTTGTGACGGGGCGTAAAGAAGATGTGGCCATGGCTAAAAGGGAGATCATGTCTGCGGCTGAGCACTTTTCCCTTATCAGAGCCTCTCGGAACAGGACGGGCCCTCTTACTGCAGGAGCCAGCCTCGGGACTCCGGCTTTACCTGGACGGACTACCATTCAGGTTAGCAAGCTTGACTTTAAATGGAAAAAAAAAAGAAGTCATTCAGGGGTTGAGAACAACCGTTAGGATGACTCAGTGTTATTAGTATCAGTATCTAGGCAAAATTACTGTATAAATAAGGCTCTCTGTTGTGTTTTGTATTTTTAAAGTGTGTATAGCTGACCTTTATCATTTTAACTGTACAGGTGCGGGTACCATATCGTGTTGTTGGGTTGGTTGTGGGTCCTAAAGGTGGGTATTTAATTTGTATTGTTTGCATGAATGTAACTGCTGAAAGTCATAGTTTTAAAGTCTCTAAAACAAAAATCAGAATTGCCCTTTAGCTTAATTATATGTTGTTTTAGCATAGATGGCAGGAAAGGTGTGAAACATACAATTTAGGACAAAAAGAGTCAGAAAAACAAATTTCATGTTAGCAGATGCAGACTAAAAGTGTTTTTGGATGATATAGGCAAGACACTATGGGACTGTTCACAGTTGTGTAGCTCTGCTATCAGGCCCCACATCTAACAGCTTTCTGTTTCTGTGTTGTCTAATGGATATCCTGTATTTCTAAAAGCCTCTGCATCTTGATATCCATCAGCTCAAGTCCAGAAGATTCCCTGTCGCTCTCAGCTAGTCTTTGTACACATTAGCACCTGTGTGTGGAAAAAGCCCTGAGGCTGATTATGATTTGCTCACTGTCTTTAACTCTTTGCCCTGTTGACATTACCAGCTGTGTGTCAAATAGCTCTGGGCTGTTTTTTTGTTTTTGTTAAACCAACCTGTAACGGTCCTTGCGATAATACCTGTAGAGGAAGTGGTGACGTGTCAAAAAAAAGTCACTGAAGTTGAAAATTTAGGATGAAACGCTGCGTCACACAAACACAGTCGAGAGGTGTGCTGTGGAGTATTTACGAGCATCAAAATGCACTCTAGGATATTGTTCTCGGTTAAAAACACAGTATTGACATTTGATAAGGTTTCCACACTGGATTTGAATTCAGTGTTTTGGTCAGGTGGTGTGGATTTCAGCCAGATGAGTCAGTAGGCCAGCCTGTAGTTGAGCACTGTAATTACTGCACAGCTGTGCTGTTTCCATTTTCAAAGCAACACACACAATGATTAAATAGATCTGAGTGTGGGGCGCTGGTTTGACTCACTGGGTTGAGCAACGGTGATGCATATGCTATAAGGTTAATGCTGAGGCCCGCTTTTGAGTTATGTCTTTCTCCAAGCTTCTCTCCTGTCCTGTCCAAAAAATAAATAAAATAAAAAAAATCTATAAAAAACAACAACCAAGAAACAAGTGTAACTGCCGTAAATGCACAATACTGTCGTTTAGAGCAGAGCGATATGACCAAAAATATGTATCACTATATAATTTTAAAATTTGTGATAACGATATAACTGACGATATAATTGACACTAGACAAAATACTTTACAACTCCACAACTTTATTAGTGCAAAAAACCCCATCAATGTATTTTCACTTAAACAAGCAGCTGTTTTTTATGTGCATTAAAGTTACATAAAAATGTAACAGTGCAAATTCCTTGCTGACAGTTTAACCAAAAGGCATTTCCAGTGGAAATTGGCCGACATATCCTCAGCATAACCATGTATAATATCCACAAAACTTAAAAAGGGGTTATACACACACAATATGGTAATATTATGTTGAAGCGCAGTACGTATCACTCCGCGAGGCTCCTGCCTACGATAGCCGTAATGCTCCGACAATCCATCAAGCGGTGTGGCTTCGTAACTTAGCAAAGTCCTACTAAAACATTTGACAGATTTTCGAGCGCCGTGTACCACATAAAATCGTTTCGAGGTCAGTAAACACAACCAGGATTCATACATAAGGCACACGGGATTATAAGGGGCACTGTCGATTTTCAGAAAAATCAAAGGATTGATTTTAAGTGTGCCGTATTTTCCAAACAACACGGTAATAACGACGGCCCGCTAGCATGCGCTACCAAAAATAGTGCTTTGTTGTGTATCTGACGGACGAAAGCCAAACCAGTGCCACACTACTGAAGTTTCAGCATTTTTACAAACCAATTCTGGTTTATCCGTTTCATTTAACGATCAGCTTTCGCTCTTCTCATTCTGCGTCGCCGCCATGTGCGTATGTAAACATAGGCACTGCGCATGCGCGTTTTACCCATATTCTATCGCGATATTTAATTTTTCTATCGTTGCCCAAAATTACACTGGTATTATCGTGAACGGTATGATATAGCCCAGGCCTACTGTCGTTGTCACTAAAATCTTGAGTATTTAGCTGTGACTGCAGTTTCTGTGTGACAGTACACAGAGCTGTTAGTGTTGCAGTCGGAGATTTTGATGGACTATTATTTGATTTATGAGCTTTGTACCACCAGCTACTAAAAATTAAGCGTCCACGTGCCATTTGTTTGCTTTATATTGGTGGCTGCTCATATCAAATATGGACAAAGTTTCTGATCATGAGGTTAAGGTTAGGTGACACTTTTGTTCAAGCACTTTTTTCTACTCTTGTATCTGTGTGACGTCAAAGGGGGGAGGGGTATATCCCCAATACAGCAATCTCACTGCTCTGACTATGAGGACCTAAGCCCCGCCCACTTCATATTCAGACTCTTTGTTTTTATTCGGAAGAGTGAAATTAAGGGAAAGGAGGGTGAAAATGTGAAAATGAACATATTATATCCACTTCAAACTATAACGGACAGTCATGTTGCAAAGTGAGCAGAACGTTGATTGAGTCTTTGTACTCAACATGTGTCTCTCATGCTTTGAGTGAAAGAGCTGGTCTGGTCATATCTTTCAGGAGCAACCATAAAACGCATTCAGCAGCAGACCCACACCTACATTGTGACACCGAGCCGGGACAAAGAGCCAGTGTTCGAGGTTACGGGCATGCCGGAAAATGTGGACCGGGCGAGGGAGGAGATAGAGGCCCATATCGCCCTCCGCACCGGAACCTGCGGGGGCATCGAGGCTCCAGGTGTAGACAACAATGACTTTCAGTTCAACGGGACAGATGTCAGCTTCGAGACATCGGCTGGTTTGGGAGAGGCCGGATGGCTTCAGGCAGGTGCATCATCACCAGGCGGCGGTGGCTTGCTGCCACTAAACATCAGCGGTACTCAGCGAGTCAATAGCAATATCAACAATGGCACCAGGATGTCTTCCAACTACCGCAACGACAGCTCCAGCTCCCTGGGCAGCGGCACCAGTTCAGCCGATTCTTTTTATAGCAGCGGGAACGTCAACCGACTGGCAGACGTCAGCCCGACCGGCCCGTTTAATGCCAACGCTAACAACAACAGCAATGGCGGCAGTGCAAGTTTCTGGTTTGGCGAGGGCCTTCTTCCCGTGGGGTCTGAGGAGCTGGTTGGGCTGGGAGGTGGAGGCTCCTCCTCAGGATTTGACCCATTAACCATTTCCACTGCCCATTCGTCACATCCTACTGCACAGCCACACATCTGGAGCCCCTTTGTGGACCACCAGCCCCTCCAGGCCTTTGATGCTCTTCAGTCTCAGGTAAGAGAAATTTAACAGCTGCAGTTTTATGGCCTCCTATGCAGTTTTATTTTAGTCTTTTTATGGTCAGCAGCGTGCTGGGGGGTTTTGATATGCAAATTGCAGGCTCAGAATTGTGATTTATCACAGATGTGCATTTATAAGGATTTTGTTATAACATTAGAAATCCCTTAAAAAATGATGGTGGATATAAAACTTGGTAAGCTAAGTTAATATGTTGTTTCTCACGAACGTATTTGCCTGCATAGCTCAATTTTAACATAAACTTTTTGATGGTGTCCATTTATCTAATCTTCAACACCTATGATGTCTCCAGACAAGCCAGCCTGGGACACCCCGGCTCTCGCCAACCTTCTCTGGGACCGACGCCTTGGAGCATCCTCAGGCCCAGCGCGTTCACCGGGGACCGTTTGGCTCGGCCGGGGCTCTCGACGCCCACAGGTTCCCCTCTTACAGCTCAGCCTTCTCCTCCTCAAGTGAAAGCACCGCCTCCTCTTCCTCCCCTCCCGAATCCTCGCTCGCCTATCGACTGGGGCTCGGATCAACAGGGAGGGGACAGGATTTGTGCGTCCAGTGTATGAATAACCAGGCGATCGCCGCCTTGGTTCCTTGCGGCCATAACCTCTTCTGTCTAAATTGTGCCACCCAGATATGCCAGGGTCCAGATGCTGTGTGCCCTGAGTGTCTGTCCCCAGCCACCCAGGCCATTCAGCTTCGCAATATGTGATTTTCTTCTTCTTCTCTTTTTTTCCCCCTTAATTTCCTTTATAACTGATTAGAGATCAGCCTGCCCAACACCTATGGTTCATGACGTGTGTGTGTGTAGGGGAGGGAAATACAAAACTGACCCCAGGTCAGTGTCTAAGTGTAATTCTCATCTGGCTTCCTTTAAGCTGGTGAAGCAGAGTAGGTGAATAAGGAATGATGTTGATTTAGGGCCGAGGTTAGGGTGCTGAGCCCGTTCACGTGCCTGGTATTGTGAAGTCTTCTTCCTTGATTGATCAACGAGAGGGTTCGAAACCCTCTATGTAGCATTGGGGGGAGGGTGGGGTTGGGATAGATATATTTTTTGATTCATATTTTCTTTTTTGTCCTTAAAATCTTTAGTTATTGTTATTTTTTGTATCTACCTATAATTTTATTTGTTTTAAATTGAGTTTGAATTCTATTGGCCTTTTTTGTCTACATCTCAAAAGGTTTTTTTTTTTTTTTAATACATTGAATTATGGCCAAGACCCTTTGCCTTTATTTTAAGTAAAAAAAAAAAGTAGAGGCAAATGAGTTTCCATGAGTTCCACATGTGACTGTATAACTACACTATTAAGGAAAAATAGTGTTCTTCTTGTTACTTAAAAACAAACAAACAAAAAACCAAGTTAATGCAGTAAATCTGATACAGCGTAGGTCGTCTTTTCAGAATTCATGTTTCCCAGATGATTGGTGCAAATATCATCAGGCTACCGGCGCACACCTGCGCGTCTTTAAAAAGGATGTTTACATTCAGTAGGACTTGAATGAGAAGTTTTGAGTACTGCTAATATAATAACAGTGTAACACACACGGACACACACCCGCGGCGTGTTTTTACTTTATTAACTACAATTTGAAAGTTGTCGCACTCCAACGGCAATCTCTCATTGCCTCATGTCTTTATTCTTTTCCCAGAATAACACCGACAAGTGAGTAACTTTTTTTTATTACTTTTGGGGTCGAGATACCGCTTCAGTATCGCCACGTTGCTTTCCACTTATACTTACGAACTGTTTACGGTAAACTTGTGCCTAATTCCACTCTGAGTGTAAACAGAAGTAAACCGGTTCAGCGGACACATGGCGTTGCTCTGTCTTTAAACAAACTTGTGGCCTTTTTTTGGGAAGCCTGTAGTTAATTCACAACACTATCTTCAGATCCAGATTTTCGGGCTCAAAAGAACACAAGCTGACAGACCGAAGTCTTAATATATTTGTCGAGGTTCAGTCTCCCGAGACGCTCCTCGCTGGAACAAATCTTGTCTCACGAGGACGCTTTCTTTCGCTTCCTATTTTCCCAAGCTGATATCGAGCGTTGCTTTCATCTTTTTTGGCACCAAACTTTCTTATTTTGTCCATTTCTGTTGTCGCATTTCCCCACCCCCACCTCAGTTTATTTACTTCTAATTTATATGTTCGTTACGACCTCTTATGGAAACAAAGTACTGTTTTTCAGCCAAAAACAGATATGCACAGCTTGTACCTTTGGAAACATTCCTCCTCCCTGTTGTTAAAGTATTTACTCTTACTTAAATCTCACCTGGGAGCAAAAAAGAGATTTTTCTGAAACTATGAAGACAGCTGTGATCTGGAACAAATCCCTGTACTGTACAGGCAGGCTACTGATTCTTTTCTTTTTTCTTTTTGTAGACATCTCAGTAATATCCTTCTCTTTCACTTGAATGTCGACTCGTTTGGACGGCTCCACCCCGTGGCTGTCTCTTCACAGCTTTTCGGTAGGAAGTCAGGAAAATGATTCCAATGGGATGCAAAACTGAGATGAAGGCCGCTCGTTGCTTCACTTTTGTAATCCCACGTCTCTTCTGCCAGGCCTATGCAAAATTCATCTCAGCACGAAGCACTAGATAAGTGAAGCTTCTCGGGTTTCAAACAAACAAACTTTGGGGTTAAACTTGTAGACAGAAATAATCCGTCTGTTTATTTTAGTTTTTTATTCCTATTACATTTCAGTTCTTTCTTTAATGAGATGTTTTAACGGTACACACTTCACCTTTAACCAGCTCAGTTGCTGTTGTCCTGTGCACTACTAAGCACAGAGCTTCCCCATTATCATATCACACTATTGACTGGCCGGGACAGGCATGTTATTGACTTTCCTCTCACCTTCTCCATCTATATATATTTTTTAAATATATATATATATATATATATATATACATATATAATTCTGAAACGTAAAGATATGGTACAAAAAGGATGAGAATCATCTCAAATCTTAGCTTTAAATATCTGTGTTTTTAGACTAGTACAGGACTGAATGAGCTCACGGACACTTTTAAAAGGGGGAAGCACTGGAACGAGTTTAGCTCGGACTGCGCTCGCACTACATTAGGTCAATGCTGTCTCTCTGGTGTGTGGACACTGGATTGCAGTCCCTCTAGCATTCCAGCTGTAACCAGTATTTTGGGAGTTTTTACACAGCTTTGCTCCGTTTCTTTTTAATATCCATCATCTTGGCCATGGATCATTGAGCTTTCATAACAAAATGCAACCAAACAAGTCCCGCTTCTGCCCCCCTCTTTGGGTCATCCATCCGTCCCGTTGTTTTCTCAGCTCTACGATGAGCCGATCTCCTTTTAGTCTTTCTCTCTCTGAGGGAATGCAATACACTGTCGGCCCTCAGTTTATCGATATGAATCTATTTACATTTTTGTGTATGTATTATATGATATTATTGTTAATGACTGATAAATATACAGAACTTATTTTTATTTTGTTACATTTCATATATACATAAATATATATATATATCTTTAAAATGTTTACAATAAGATTTTTGTAAAAAATTTTCTTTTTTTTCTTTAATTTTCTGAGTGATTAGGTGAATGAAGAGTTGGAAACACAGACATGTTTCCACGCAGGAGAGTGTCAGTGCTGTCTGCTTGTAGTCTAGGTATTAGTTTACAGTATTGATCATAATAGTATTGATAGCTGCCGTTTAAACCTAGTGGAAAATGGAATGTGCATCACGAGCATGTCTTCATAATTTACCGCCAATGTAAAGCATCACACTGCAACTGTAAAAAGGCCAAGGATCCAAGCTGCCTGTCATGTCTGTACACCACCAAATTAAGAACGGTATACTATTAAAATGTATCTTAGATTATCTCTATATAAATACATATATTGTTAAGCTGTACCAACAGTTCAAAGTATTTGCTAATTTTACTACTTTTGTTATGTATATGTAGGGGGAGTCTTATGGCATATAAATTCTTTCAAATTGAGTCAGGAGTTTAAAAGCAGACTATATTTTATAACGGCCTTTTAAGTTATTGTGGCCAAAGCACTGATATTATATATTTGCTGTAAAGAGAATTTAAGAGTTTTATTTTTCTGATATTAAAGTTACTTAATAAAGACGGTTTCATTTTAAGCCATGCCAGACTGCTGTCATTTTTTTTCTTTTCTTCATATTTCCTGTGGGATTGTTTTCATGAGGAGTTCAGATTTCATCAGAATTACAACACACGGGAGGATGTTTTTTGCGATTGAGTGGGAAGGTTCAGGTGAAATTTGAAGTTTGAAGTTATTATCTCAAAAGTTCAACTCAAACTTCTAAGTAAGTTGAAATTTTGGAACGCTAACCTTGAAACTCTTATGAGAAGGGTTTTTTTTTTTTTTTCCCCCAACAGTGGCAGAAATAAGCTTTCATTTTAACAGGTATTCCTGATGAAAGCAGCACCACACTCCTCACTAGTGAGCATTAATGTCCCTCAGGACCTGCAAAAATTGAATTATTGGATCAAGATTGCAGAAAAAAGAACGATGCAAAGTGCAGCCTTTGAAAAAAATATTGATATGGAGTTGGGTAAGTGTTAAATAGCACGAGGACTTTGTTCTTTGAATTCTGCTGCTCAGACTAGGGTGAAGTTAGAAATTGTGATTAGAAATTCCAGTTTGGAAACACAGCACATAGTTGTTGTTTTTTTTTTTTTACAGATTCAATAATTTGCCGCTCATCATCTCTGTAGATAAAGCAAAAAGTAGAAATACAGTGTGTGTCAGTGTCGGAGCGCTTTTTTACATCCATTTTTTTATGGCTTTCTCTACATTACTTTTTCCGTATGCTTTACATTAGCCGTAGGGATTTTTGTAGTTGTGTTTCTTTTATTTATTTCACACCACTCAAACATCCAGCCTTGTACAGAAAGAAATCAGATATTAGAGGCAGCACGACTGAACGTAAGATATACATGACTGCTAATGGTTTTCATCAGGCAGTAAATTTGAAAAAGCCCACCCACATGTGCCTTCTATTCTTTTTAATTAAACATCAGCTCAAGTGCATGTTGTTCTGCTGGTATTATAAAGAATGTGTGTATTTACAGAATGCTTGTCACCAGAGAGGTTTTGAGCTGTGACAGTTGGAAAACTACAGGCGTAAATAAGGCAGGGTCTGCTGTGTCCTCTGACCTCATGGATATCCTTTAAAAATCATTTTCTTGATTTGTTGTCCAAATGTCTTCTGTGACAAACGAACATGGAAAAAAATGGGTGCAACAGAGCAAAAAGAAGAATGGGGGGAGATATGAAATATAGCAAAAGTGCATTTGAATGAGGGGGTGGGGTCAGTATTTACCCACTTTTGTTTGCAAAGGGCATCTCCAGGACACAGGTGGGATTCAGGTCTGGGCTCTGACTGGATGGGGTATTGCAAATCTTTGTTGAAGTCATTATTTTGTTGATTATATGCTTTAACTTGTTACAGCAAAAGATAAAACTGCTGTTTATCTTTAGATGTCTTCTTGTGTTAAAACTTCTACCACCCTGACTAAAGCACAAGTCCCAGCAGAGGAAAGCGAGCCCCAAAGCATAACGCTGCCACCGTGATCATGATGTCCTGGTGATGTGCAGTGCTGTAGGAATGATGGCTACAAAGTTCAACACCTTGGCCCCACATGCTTTTTAATAACCTGGTGTACACGGTTGCAAAACGTATTCAGGGTTGGATGGTTCATGTCTTGCCACTACAGCCCATTTAGTACACGACCATTGCTTGTCAGAAATTCCTGCAGCTCCCCTAATGCTGCTGTAGGCCTCTCAGCAGCCTCCAGACCAGTTTTCTTCTTTTCATTAAGGTTCACCTAATTTAATTATTGCTTTCTTATGTTGCTGTGAAAAAAAAGAACAGGACACTGTGTAGAGAATATCAGGCCATTTTTAATTATAGACTCTCACATAAGAAATACAGGTAAACTTTATATCTGCAATTTGTCATAGTAGTCAGCATCAACTCATCTGAGCTGTCTTTTGGCTCCTATAATAACCGCAAGTTATATAAAAACATCTGTCCACCTTAAAGCACAACATCATATAACGGACTCTATTCTTCAGCATAAATTCTCTATCCTGTTTCCTGCCATGCAATAGATTAGATCCATAATAAGAAGTGTCAAGATTTAAACATTTTTGAACACAGCTCTTCAAAATGATGGTGACATAATGCAAACAGGGATGAGGAAAGCAAACCACGGCTTACTTATGGTTACTTGTTGGGTTGTGAAGATCCCTGTGAACAAAGAATAAAAGGACAGACGGACATTTGTGAAGAAAAATCCTTTTCATGAAGCTATGTTTGAGCGGAGGTTTGTGTGTTAAAATAACAAGCATGAGTTGATGGTTGTGAGTGATCAAATGCGCTTTTCTTGAATAGTTTGTCACACTTCACCCGTTTCAGGTTTCAACCTGCGAGCGAAGTGGTTGTTTATTAGAGGTGGACCGCTAATAACCAGAGGACTAGTTTATTAGATTTATGTCTTTAAGGTGCCTTTTTTTAAATAGGACGTGCTAACATTTTTACATAAATTCATTAGATCATTTGAGTAAGTTACGTCTATGCAGATTCCCTCTATTTGCCTTTACTAGAACACACAAACATCAGTACACAGCAGGTGCTGGTTTCTACTCTCTTCTGATGATAATTTGCATGTAATGCAGAGCAAATGAATCACTCCATTTTAAAAAGGGCTTTCTTTGACATTAAAATTCATGCAAACACTGACATGCATTTCAAAAGCAAAGTTATTTACATGGATTAAAGAGGAAAACAAAACTGCAAATCAAAAGAAGAGGAAAAAAAAGTCTGATAAGCCAAAAGAAAAATTAAGATGTGTTTAAATGAAAAGTGAGAGGGCAAAAAGGTGTCCCAATGCTGCATACAGTATGTTTTCATTACAAATGCATCACACGATGCTGCCTGATCACAGCCCTACGTTAGCTATAAACCAGCCTATTTGCTCTACTGTTCATTCACCACCTCAAAACAATGGTTATTGAATTAAATCGAGGAAAAAAACGTAAAGTGCTAAAAATTTACAAAGAAAGGTAACAAAAATAAAACCAAGAAAATATATCAATATTGCTGTTAACCGCCTTAAACTCTTCTTCTCTTTGTGGGTAAACTACACACAGGTGACCTGTATCAAGTGGTAAATAAGTGGGCTGCAAGTCATAAGGTATTTAAGTGCAATTAGGTCTAGGCCTTTAAAATCCAATTAAAGAAACCTCAGCTAACAGAGGTTGAGAAACAGCTGCCAGTGACTGGACTTCATGCTGTCATGATCACACATTCATACCGTTTCTCAGTATTTATCGCTTTGGTTTGCCAAAACAAAGGCTGCTCATTATTCTGCAAGCACATCATAGATAAAAATTAGCTGTCTGCCTCTGCTCTGCTCATCTTGCTGTACCCAAAGAATCTCAGCTTTTCTCTTTGTGTTCTCAGCACAAAAGTGAGGAGGTGCAGAGCCCGAGTATCATGGCGGCATTATGGAGGGTGTATCTGAAACCGATGGGAGGCGACCATGACCTGAATGATCACCTACAAAGGCCTCTTCCCAGAAATGAATCATTTGTGTATGCTTATGTGGATTTTGTTATGTGCAGTGTGTGTCTGGTGTAAAGCACTTTGTAACGCTGGTTTTAAAGTGCTAACAAACTTTATTACTTATTTTTCAGTTATTCTTGAGACACCGATCGCCTGCTGGGAAATCTTGACTCTGAGCTTTTGTATGAATGTTACTTTGACGCCCATCTAAATGCAACATCTAGCATGACAGAAGGCTCTTCTAGTATGAGAAAACACCCCGCCACAAGATCTCCAATCCAGATGTTCTGCTCATTGCACAGAACACTGTATAATAACTGGTTAAACTAGGACATCAGGACACCCATGGGCACAGACTTGCACCTATCACTTGAAGTCCAAACCTGTACTTTGACAACACCACACCAAAAAACAAACAAAAAAAACCCCCAAGTCCACAGAGATGTTTCAGTTAGGGAGCTGGAAGCAGTCTTCAGGCACGGGGGTATGTTGTTTTCTCCTGCAACATTTGTGGATGGGTGAGAATCGAGCTGGTGTCGAGGGGTTTTCCTCCTCTGAGTGTTGGGGTGCTGCTGCTTTGCTATTCAGCCTGACAGCTGAATGAACCTGTGCCTTTCTCCAGGTGTAAAGCAGTCTGTAACAGTTTAAATAAAACTTGACACAACACAAACCAGTAGTACACAGATGTTTTTGCCTGCGTGTGATTTTAATATCCGTCAGTAGTGGGGTGGTTGTGTTGGTGAACATTCCAGTTTAATGGGGTCTGCAGGTCAACCTTGTGCATGTTTGGTGATTTTTACTTTGAAGCTGTGTGACTTTTTAAGCCATTCCAGTCATTCCAAATTAAAGCCATCTATCAAAAATGTGAATAAGCATTTTTAATAAACTGCTTCCGCTAATTTAGTGTCACGAGCTAAAGTTAGGGCCACAGTGCACAGAAGGTGCTTTAAACACACCTGGAAGTATTTATTCATGTGGGACAGCTTCAGTTTCATCTTCTCTACCCAAAACAATTCACAGAGGAAGACTTTCCATTGCCACTGTATACTGCAGCGACATGCTGCTGTTACAAAGATCTCAGTCGAGAGGTTGTGGGTCTGCTATAGGCATAGTGTGCAGAACCTCGTCCAGTAACTGCAGAGCTCTATGCAGGTGGATCTCAATCCAGCAGGGGGTCTCCTTGATGCTCTGGCGTGGGTAGTCAGGCCCCCAGCCTTTAACAAAGCTCATCCTGAGAATACATAACCTCCGCAGGTCGTCCACACCGATTCCAGCTGCTGCTGACAAACCTGACAGGAGACAGAGAAAGACACAATTATAACCACTGTGACACAAACAAACAAACCCAAAATGCATCCCTCAATCAGGCAATTTTCACAGATGAATTCAGGACAATGTTGGGAACAAGTCTGAAGTTGCCATGTCTCTGTACCAGAGCACAGCAAGGGGGATAGTGTGCTTAGTACACAGCCTGCAGGAGGCCAGAAAACCACTAGCTGTAAACTCACTGGACTATCAGAAGCAATATCCCCAAAAACTCTATAAATAA